CGACGACGACGACGTCAAGGACGACGATGGATACGACGACGACGAGTCAAACAGAACAGCGTCTTCCGCATGCCGACAGGATCGGTGGATTTGCGCATGTGTGCAACATACAGGGCAGCAGTGTGATGGGCGTACAGGTGTGGAAGCCAGAGTTGCTGGGGCAGTGCCCCACCCTTCCTCGAACGCGATTCGACCACAGCAGCGAAACGTTGTCCCCAGGCTCAGGTTTCGCCAGTTGCCCAACCACCACCTGTCTTTGTTTCTGCTCTGCTTCTCGCTCTCAGCTTCGCGTCTGCCGCGCTCTGCAACCTTGTTTGCGATCTCGCCCCGCAGTGCTGTCCGGGTCAGTTTGGGTGATCCCAGTTGTTTGTTGCCTTCGCCAGAACCATGCTGGTGTCGGCGCTTCTTCTGGCCTGCCGGCCAACTTCTCTGTCTCCGTCCTTCTCCCTCCCCGGTTGCTCACTCAGCGTTTTTTGCCCGCCCTTTTTAGCCTTGCACGCGCCTGGCAGTTCCTGCTCGGCGGTCGGCAACGTTCGGCTTGAATCCGTGACCCTCAGCTTTGTCCTCGCTCCCACACAAGTTGGTCACTTCAACAGGTGGTCAAGGCTCAACCTGCCTTTGTCGCTCGTGGCCCACAGGTTGCACCCATCTGTACGCTTTATGAGCAAGTGTGCAGTGTGTGTATGTGCGCGTTTGCGTGTGCATGTGCGTGTGCGTGTGCATGTGCGTGTGATTGTGTGTGAAGATGCATGGTGCGTGTCTGTGTGTCTGTGTGTTTGTGTGTATGGGTGTGTGTGTGTGTGCGCGTGTGTGTGTGTCTGTGTGTGCGTGTGTGTGTGTGCATGTCTGTGTTTGTGTGTGTTTGTGTGTGTGTGCTTGTATGTGTTTGTGTGTGGGTGCGTGGGTGGTTGTGTGTGTGTGCTCGTGTGTGTGTGTGTGTTTGTGTCTGTTTGTGTGTGTGTTTGTGTGTTTTTGTGTGTTTGTGTGTGTGGGTGTGTGGGTGTTGGTGTGTGTGTGGGGGTGTGGGCGTGTGTGTGTGTGTGTGGGGGGGGTTGTGGGTGCGGGTGTGTGTGTGTGTCTATGTCTGTGTCTGCGTGTGTGTGTCTATGTCTGTGTCTGTGTCCGTGTGTGTCTGTGCCTGTGTCTGTGTCGGTGTCTGTGTGTGCGTGTGCGTGTCCGTGTGCGTGTGCGTGTGCGTGTGCGCGTGTTTGTGTGGGTGTGTGTGTGTGTGTGTTTGTGTGTTTGTGTGTGTGATTGTGTGTATGTGTGGTGTGTGTGTGTGGTGTGTGTGTGTGTGTGTTGTGTTGTGTGTGTGTGTTGTGTGTGCTGTGTGTGTGTTGTGTGTGTGTGTTGTGGTGCGTGTGCGTGTGCGAGTGCGTGTGCGTGTGCGTGTGCGTGTGCGCGTGTGCGTGTGTGTGTTTGTGTGTGCGCGTGTGCGCGTGTGCGCGTGTGCGCGTGTGCGCGTGTGCGCGTGTGCGCGTGTGCGCGTGTGCGCGTGTGCGCGTGTGCGCGTGTGCGCGTGTGCGCGTGTGCGCGTGTGCGCGTGTGCGCGTGTGCGCGTGTGCGTGTTTGCGCGTGTGCGCGTGTGCGCGTGTGTGCGTGTGCGCGTGTGCGCGTGTGCGCGTGTGCGCGTGTGCGCGTATGCGCGTGTGCGCGTGTGCGCGTGTGCGCGTGTGCGCGTGTGTGCGTTTGCGTGCGGGTGTGCGTGTGTGCGGGTTTGCGGTGTGCGGGTTCGCGTGGTGTGTGTGTGTGTGTGGGTGTGGGTGTGGGGTGTGGTGTGGTGTGTGTGTGTGTGTGTGTGTGTGTGTGTGTGTGTGTGTGTGTGTGTGTGTGTGTGTGTGTGTGTGTGTGTGTGTGTGTGTGTGTGTGTGGGGGGGGGGGGGGGGGGCGTGTGGGCGTGTGGACGTGTGTATGTGTGTGTGTGTGGGGGGTGGGTGGGAGGGGGGGGGGTTGTGGGTGCGGGTGGTGTGCGTGTTAGTGTGCGTGTGCGTGTGCGTATGCGGGTGCGGGTGCGTGGTGTGCGTGTGCCGCTTGCTTGGCCCCCTGTGTCTTGCTGCCTCGCCACTGCCCCGTGAGGGCCCGGCAGACTTTTCGGCTTTATTGGCGCGCCCCCGCGCGCGCCTGTGGGACTGACGGACGGCTTGTGGCCAGGACCAGCCAACGACGACCAAAAAGCGTGTGTGTGTTTGTGTATGCGTATGCGTTGTGATTGTCTGCCCTTGCCCCTCGTTTCGATAGACTGGCATCGGGTCAAAGGGGGGCTGCGCCTGTCAGTATGATCTTCGCGGGGCGTAGATGTCGCAGGGATGCGGAAGTCTCATGGGTCAGCGCGCGAAGCATCAGCATCGGACCGGTTCCAGTTTGTTGCGCGCGCCCGCGGCGGACAAATCCTGCCCCCCCCTCGCATCGCCGGTCATGGGGGGGCTTGTCGCTAATCCCAATCCGGGGGATGCCGGCCCGTCGGTTTTGAAACCCCCTGCCATCGCCCGCCGAGGGCAGGAGTTCACAGATGCACGCATAATCTCGAGCCCAAGTGGCGGCGGACGCCGGGCCCCCTGGAGTAACGACACCCAAACAGCGCTTGCAACGTGATAACCTCGCCGGGCCGTGCCTGACGAAATTCTCTGTTGGTTCCCGCGTTGTCCGTTTCTCTGCGGGGTCTACGCTGGCAGTCATCGGTCGCAGCACTCTTGACCAATTCTAGGATAATATTGAAAAGGTCAGAGTGTCACGGACTCGGTTCTTCGCGCGCATTGCCCATGGCTGGGACTTCATCGTCTTCGGCAGCACCATCATCGTCACCATCGTCGTCGCTATCCGAAGCCGCCGGCTCAAGCCTTGACGTTCCGGATACTTCCGGTCCTGGGGCATGGTGCCCCGCGGCGCCATTGACTGACCACGCAGCGGCATGGTCTGGTGCCGGGCTGGTTGCCTGCTGGGGCCTTGCAGTATGCAACGGGGCGCATCTCGCTACGGCCCCATATTGGAACGGGAGCCTGAAGGAGGCCTCCCGCATCACAGGTAAGATGCGGGTGTTCCCTCATACGCGTGCTCCTCCATTGGTGCACGCGGGGAAGAAGCGTTCTTGCGAAGGTTCCGCACGGGGCCTGTGCTTATCGGGACTTGCCCTCCTCATCCTCGCTGCCAGAGCCCCGCATGGGGCTGACAGTGGGTTCAATGGTCCATCCCTATATCCACGCACGCTTAGTGCTGACACTCCGTCCCTCCATGCGCGATCCTATCTAGCCCCTGCGAAGGTATTGTTTGATCTCTCTCTCTCTCTCTTTCTCTTCCTCCCTCTTTCCTGACTCGGCATTGACCATCCCCTGTCCCCTGTCGTTCCCTTCGTATCTATCCTTCCTTGCTTCACACGCTGTGCGCTGGTGTGCTGCCTTGCTCCTACAGTCAAGGCGCTGAAATAAGGAACAGTGTGGGTTCGGAAGGGCCTCGGTGTTCCTTAGGTTCCTCCAGTGCTGTTCCTCTTGCCCTCCTGGGGCACGGAGGCGCTTACAGGGCCGAGAAGGGGCTTCGTTCCTTATTTAGCATTCTTTCTTTCAGCATCCCGACTGTACGTTGCCGGCTTTCATTGTTCACACGCGATGTTGCTCGCCAGTTGCACGGTTTTCATTATCGTTGTCGTGCTGGTTCGCCTTGGCTTGCCCTCATCCAGGACTCCACGGCTGTGGCTGGAGCGCGTTCGACGTACGTTCGAAGGAGATTTGGCTCGCGCGCCCCGCCGGCCTACGACAAACTGTTGGCACCAGGTCGCGGAGGAGGACAACGCGCGCTGCAATACAGGACGCAGTTGTGCCTCGCGTTCGTTTTTTTTTTCTCGCGCTCCACTTCCTCGGGATGCACCTGGAGCCGACGAGCTGTAGGACCAGCGCGCTGTCCACGCTGCCGGGCTGTTAGACGGTTGCCGCAATATTGGTGACTCGTGCGCAGTGTTGCTTCGGTCCGTTCTCCGTCGTTGTCATCTCGTTTCTCTCGCCCTGGTTGGTTTTTGGCCTTTCGTCTTGCCGCGTGTCGTGTCGTTTCGTTGGTCCCCTTACTGTTTTGGAGGGTATGAAAGCGCACCTCCACCCCCACGTGGCCCCCTCTCTCCCCTTCGGGGGCTCGGCCACAGAGCTCCGGCTCCCGAGTCTAAGGTATGTCTCGCAAAAATGGGCACAACAAGTATAACCTACCCCCACCTGGCCCACTCCCTGTGGGGATGGGTGGCGAGGTGGGGTGGGAATGCTCATTTGCTCCCCTATGCGTCCACCTTTTGTTGGTGGTATTTTAGCTCTCTCCCACGCTCCGCTGGAGACGCATCATAGCAGAGCGTTGGCATATTTCTCCACTTTGTTATCTTCCTGCACGGCCCGTCTGGCTCACCCATTGTCTGGGAGAGCACCGCCTTAGCTCGACCGCGATCGCCATGCCGTTTTGGCTGTTGTTTTGGTGGACGTGACCCGTCCACCGACAAATAACACATGCTTCGTCGCCGCGGAGCAGGACAGCGCGGTGTTTTTGAAATAGTTGGTGCCGTGGTCGAATTCGCACCGTGGTCTGTCGGGTTCGTCGCGGAAGGTGTGGTCGTCATATTGTTGGAACCGCAGTCGACCAGCAGGGTGATGTTAGGACCAGCTGGTGGTGGCGTCGGTGGTAAAACAGGGGAGCGTGAGTTGGAGTGGGTGGCCGACGGATCAATGTGATTGTGGTCGGTCACGCGTCGTTTGGCGGTGCAGCGCGCGAAGCATTCGTGCGCCTTGCTGCACCTGTCACAAGCTCAAATGTCGGGAGGTGCTGGCGGTGGTTGCGGTGCGATTGGCGTCAGTTCTGCTGGCATCGGAGCAGGCCAGGCCTGAGTCGCAAGTGGAGGGGAGAGAAGGTGAGGAAGAGGAGTAAGAGTAAGCGGAGAGGTGGAAGAGGGAAGGGTTGAGGGGGTGGAGGGGGGAGGAGCAGCGGAGGGACGAGGCGGAGGATGGAGGTGAGGAGGGGGGAGAAGGAGGGATTACTGCCGAGGTAAGCCTTTGCCAGTGCCTGCTCTGAGCAACGACGAGTTGACCCATCCAGAACGCTTCGCGGACCGACGCCGCCCGCCACATCGCCTGGAGGAAACTCGGAGAGGAAGGCAACGCAAGATGAGGAAGGAGGGAGGCGGGAGCCTCGGGCCCTCTTGCCCTGGACCGACATGGACCCCCTCTCGTCGCGCCTCGGCCCCCCGCCCCTGGCCCGCCCGCCCCACCCTGACCTCGCTCGCCTGGCCAGGCCGGCCCGCGCCCCGTCCGCAGACCCCCGACGTCATTCTTTCATGGCGTGGGCCCTGAGCGGCCTGGATCCCTGCCCCCAGAGCCAGCTGTTCGCCCCGAGTCATTTTCTCACGGTCTCGGGGCCGGCGGGGGCCCCCAAAGAGGCCAAAAATAGTGCGAACTTTCCCGTCGTGGTTTGTTTCACTTAGGTCCGTGGGTCAGAGTGCGGCCAATGTGCGCCGTAGTGCGTTGTTTACCAGGAGTTGCGGCCGTGTGACAGCGGTGCGAGCACGGCCATGTGCACAGTGGCGCGTTGCTTACAACGGATCGTGGCCGTGTGGCACGGTTGCGGGCACGGCCATGTGCACCAGAGTGCATATGGTAGGAAGGATCGTGGCCGTGTGACAAGGGCGAGAGCAAGGCCATGTGCACCGTAGTATCTTGATCGCCCCCGCGGGTCATGCCTGAGACCCCCACCCACCCGGCCAGATTGTTTGTTCTTCCTTCCGCGAGGGGGCCACTTTCGCGGCGTTCCGTTCAATTTGGGACCTTTGGTGGCGCATGGATGTTGTTCCTTCTTCCGCGGGTGCATTGCCACCCGGAACCCCTGAACCCCGTCCAGCTAGATTGCACTTGGTACATGAGTACAAGTGGTACCATCGTGTGTTAGCGCGCAGCTATTCCTAGAGCGCACCTGGTCCTGCAGTACAACCCGTCTTATCGAATTGCGTCTGAAGCGCTTGGGGAAAAAAGTACAGACTCGTGATCTAGGAATAAGGAACCATTCTAGGATCGCGACTTGGGAGTACGGAAGCATAATACAGTCGCGATTCAATTATAAGGAGGCAGTATACAATGTCGCTCTCGGAAATAGGACACCCAGTAGCGTGCAAGTAGTACTAGGACAACTCCCTCGTGCAACTACTCTCAGAGTGATGTTGCACTACATTCACAATCTGAGCTCTCGTGCTTGTCCTCCTCTGGCTGCTCTGGGGGGGAGGCCCACGCGCCAGCACCCCCGCGCGCCAGCACCCCCGGGGCCGAGAGGTCGTTTGCCCTCCAGAGTTTCGGCTTGGGTAACCCCGCGCCAAGGATTTCAGATGTTCACGCGCCAACCTCTTGGGTAACCCCCGCGCCGGTTCATATGTTCCAGCGCCCCTTGCCCGAACCCCGCACCAAGGATTTCATATGTTGCTTCTTCCGCGGGAGCCCGACCCCTTGGATTTTCCGGCGCGCCCCAGGAATGGTTCTCGTTCTTGATGGCCCACCATGGGTCATATATTGGATTCGCCCAGGCGATGTATTGCGAAGGCCTCACGGCCGGTGCCGCCGACCCTGAAGACGACGAAGATGAAAACGAGCGGGGGGGCTTAGGAGGCGGAGGAGGAGGAGGAGGAGGAGGAGGAGGAGGAGGAGGAGGAGGAGGAGGAGGAGGAGGAGGAGGAGGAGTGGGGGGGGAGGAAGGAGGAGGAGGGAGGAGGAGGAGGATGAGGAGGAGCGGGAGGCGGAGGAGGGGAGGAGGAGAAGGAAAGGAGGAGGAGGAGGAGGAGGAGGAGGAGGAGGCATAGGAGGAGTAGGAGGAGGGGAGCAGGGGGGGGAGGAGGAGGAGGAGGAGGAGGAGGAGGAGGAGGAGGAGGAGGAAGAGGAGTAGGAGGCGTTGTGGCATTCTGGGGTCTTTGGGAAACAGCTTTTACATGGTTTCGGGTGCGCTCGAGGGGGAAACGTATCTGGGCGGCGTCCCCGCTGGGATTCTCCCCCTGACCCGCGCCCCTGGGACCTCCCTCTCCGTTGGGGAGGGATTGAAGGGAAGGGGCTTGGGCCGTGTATGGGGGCTCTTGCGGATCCGTCGTGGCGACCCCCCCACCTCCAGCGCATCTACAGAGGGCCCACGGGGTTCGTAAAAGCCGCAAGCGGGGACATGGCATTCTGAAACGGGACACCCCCCCGGGACCCTCCTCCGGGACCTCCCCCGGTACCCTCCCCCCCCTTCCGTCGGGGAAGGGAAAGGGCTTCCCCTCAACTACGACGTTGCTCAATTGAAGGTGGGAGACGGCCACTCCTTGCTCGTCTTGAGGCCTGCGTGAGTCCTGGAACGCCCCGAGGAGGATGGTAGTCTGACCTGGGACCTCCCCTGGGACCCGTCCCAGGGACCCCCCCCCCCCCCGGGACCCTCCCTGGGACCCTCCCCCTCCGTCGGGGAAGGGACCAAATGGAAGCGACTTCCCGTCGACTCAATTACGACGTTGAAGTGGGAGACGGCCGCTCCTGGCTCGTCTGGAGGCCTGCGTGGGTCCCGGAACGCCCCGAGGAGGGGACCCCACCCCAGGGACCCCTCCCCGGGACCCCCCCCCCTTTCCGTCGGGGAGTGGATTCAAGGGAAAGAGTTTCCCGTCGATTCAATTTCGACGAATTACGACATTGCTCGATTTGAGGTGGGAGACGGCCAGTCCTGGCTCGTCTGGAGGTTTGTGTGGGTCCCGGACCCCCCCGAGGAGGATGGTATTCTGATCGGGGACCCCCCCCGGGATCCCCCCCCCTTCCGTCGGGGAAGGGATCAAGGGGAAGGGGCCCCCCTTCGACTAATTACGACGTTGCTCAATTTTAGGTGGGGGATGGCCAGTCTTGGCTCGTCTGGAGGCCTGTGGGTCCCGGAGCCCCCCGAGGGACCCTCCCCTTCCCCTTCCGTCGGGGAAGGGATCAAAAGGAAGGGGCTTCCCTTCGACTCAATTGCGACGCTGCTCAATTTGAGGTGGGAGAGGGAAAACGGCGACGACGGCGCGCAACAACCATGAGGAACAACACCGGGGTGGGATAGCGAGGGGGGAACAAACACGACAAACAGCACATTCCACATGCCGACAGAGTTGGCGGATGTTGTTTAGAAAAAGGGTCGTAGCCGTGTGGCAGGTGTGCGAGCATGGCCATGTGCACCGTAGTATTTCCTTTACAAGGGATCGTCGCCGTGTGACGCGGGTGCAGACACGGCCATGTGCATCGTCGTTTTGATGTTACACGTGATTGTGGCCATGTGACAATGGTGCGGGCACGACCATGTGGACCGTAGTGTATTGTGTCCACGGGATCGCGGCCGCATGACAAGGGCGGGATCACGGCCATGTGCATCGCGGTGTTTTGTGGTAATCGTTGAAGATCACTGCTGCCACATCTACCGACCTCCCTTCCCGACCCCGCTTTCTGGTCCAATCCTTCCCGACGCAAGGGCGGAGGGAGGACTTAGCCTTTTGACACGCCCCATCTGCGGGGCGCGACCGCTTGTGGTGAAGCGCCGTCGCGAAAATTGCGGACGGCGGAAGAGCCGCAGCGAGGCCGACCCCAGTGGGGAACCAGCGGTATGTCCATGGAGAGAGACATGGGCGCTTGGGCGACAGCAGCTCCAGCCCTAGCACAGCGCGCCGGCCTCCGATCGGCCGACGACGGAGCGTGGTACCGCGGCACGAGGCAGTCGCGGAGCGCGCCGGAGGACCCCCCCGCGGCGCGGGGGGCCCCCGCAGCCGAGGTGTGGAGTGTGGAACCACCGCGGCGGATGGGGTTCGTGGAGTGATTGGGGCACTAACAGACTACCTTGGCCTGGGTGGGGGTGTTCCTGGTCCGAGGAGCAGGGGCGCTGGGGCCCCTTCAGGCCCTTCAGGCCAGAGCCTGGCGCGGCGCCTGCCTGGCGCAGGTGGGCGACGGACGCCGGGTCCGACCAGGGTCTGGCTCGGACAGCCAGCGAGACAGGCGCGACAGGAGAGACGAGAAGTATGTCGGGACGGGAAGTCTGCGACACTCCGCACATGCGATCGCCGGGCGAAGATCTTCGAGCTGCAAATCGCGATCCCGCCGCGGCGGCGGGGTGGCCGGCTGCTCTCCATGCTCGAGGGGGGCGCCGAGACGACGGGGGAAAATCTCGACCCCGAGGACAAAGCTGCGCCCGACCGCGCCCAGGTGATTCTGCCCTACCTGCGCAGCAAGTACGACCACCAGGAGACGCTGGAGGTCGGCAGCCTGGCGGGCGCGTTCGCGGGGAAGCTCGCGCGCGACGTCGGCGAAGAAGCGCTGGACTTCGAGACGCGCTATGAGACGAGATTCGCGAGCTGGCGGAGGCCATGGGCGAGCCTCTCAACCAGCGCCCGAAGGCCCACTATACCTCCTTGAGGAAGTCGCGCGCGGGAGGCGACAGGGAGAGCCAGATCACCATTGGCGCCGGCAGCGAGTTGGTCCACAAAAAGTTGCGGGGCTGCGGGGCTTCGCCAGGGCGCGCCTGCCCCGCCCCTCGATGCCGCGGACGACGCCGGCCCAGCGGGCGCGGGCGGCGGGGGCAGCGCGCTCCGAGAGCGCCTGAACCGGAGGCGTCGAAGACTTGGACGGGCCACTGGTCGTGGCGGGGGTCGCCCCGCGCGCGCGGTGCGCGGTGGCCAGGAGGGCGACCTGGGCGAAGCCGCCGACGACGACGGCGAGTGGCCCGAGGAGGCGGAGCACGACGAGGAGATGGATTCCGAGGACGATCCGGGGGTGGAGGAAGCGGCCGAGCACGAGCACTTCCCCGTGGAGCTGCTGGCCTCCCCGACGGACAACGCGGCGACGATGGCCCGGGCAAGGAGAGCCCGCGCAGAAGCGGAGAAGGCGCGAGATTACAACCGCTGCGAAACGAAGAGCGGCAGCGGCGCGAACGCCGAGCGGATCGAGAAGCTCAAGCAGACTTTTCCGCGCAAGCGCCGCGGGCGGCTGGGCCGCTGGAAGGGCGACCCGGAGTGCTCCAGGCCCTATATAGGAAGGGCGGGGGCAGGCCGGCGGCCGCGGCGAGCCGCCCCGTCGCGGAGCCGACGCCAGAGGAAGTTTCCACGGTCGCGGCCGCTCAAGCG